GGTTTTTCGGCCCGGTTTTTCCCCCCAACGGCTGGCCACGCGTTTCCCGCAAACCGCCTGTTTTTTCGCCGTCTGGAGGAGCCTGCTCCTCCGCGCGCCCGCTGCGCAGCCGCGCTGAGCAAACGCATCCTGCCCGCGTCCCCGGGAAGCACAAAATTACTCTGTACCTTTCCCAGTCCCATAGGGCAGCAAGGGCTATTGAAGAAATACATCACCGGAGGTGCTGAGGCTTTGCATATCCCCAGCACCTCACTCTGGCTTTGCCCCTTTGCGCGCGGTACGGCCGTGTTTCCGCTGACTTGCGTTATCTACCTGCAAACAAAGGGATTTGCCGTTTGCGTTGCCGGTGCGAATTCCCCGGGGAAGGTTTCCTTTGCCCGGCTAGGGCTCGGAGCGCGAGCGCGTGACGGACGGACGGACGGACGGACGCAGCGCCAGGAGGTAGGAAGTTCTTTCTCCCCAGATCACGTTTGGAGGATTGCGCGCGACGAACCCCACTCGTCACCGTGCTGCGGATAAGTCACGAGCCGAAAAGAGGGCTGAGTTAGTCGGGGGCGTTTTTCACTAGGGATAATCCTCGCCGCCGCCATCGCTAGGCGGGTGGGTTTGGACGCGCCGCGCGATGCCTTGCTCCGGCCTGACCCCGCTCTCGCCTTTCTCCGAACAGGGGGTTTCGCGGAGCTGCTCCTGGTGCTGCTGGGGCTGAAGGTCCAGGTGGCCGTGGGCTGCCCCAGCGACTGCGTGTGCTACCCGTCCCCGATGACCGTCAGCTGCCAAGCCCACAACTTCGTCACCATTCCCGAGGGGATCCCCGAGAACAGCGAGAGGATCTTCCTGCAGAACAACCAGATCACCTTGCTGCTGCGGGGGCACTTCAGCCCCTCCATGGTCACCCTCTGGATCTACTCCAACAACATCACCTTCATCGACCCCAACACCTTCGAGGGGTTCGTAAACCTGGAAGAGCTGGATTTGGGGGACAACCGCTACTTGAGGGCTTTAGCGGCAGACACCTTCCAAGGGCTGGTGAAACTCCACGCCTTGTACCTGTACAAGTGCGGGCTGAGCTCCCTGCCCAGCGGGATTTTCGGCGGCCTCCACAATCTGCAATACCTGTACCTGCAAGACAACCACATCGAGTTCCTTCAGGACGATATTTTTGTTGACTTGGTTAACCTCAGCCATCTTTTCCTCCATGGAAACAAGCTCTGGAGCCTCCATCAGAACACGTTCAGGGGACTGATCAACCTGGACAGGCTGCTCATCCATCAAAATCAGCTGCAGTGGATTCACAGGCGGGCTTTCCACGACCTCCGGCGACTGACCACCCTCTTCCTGTTCAACAACAGCCTCTCGGAGCTGCAGGGGGACTGCCTGGCCCCGCTGGGAGCCCTGGAGTTCCTGCGGCTGAACGGGAACCCGTGGGGCTGCGACTGCAAAGCCCGCTCGCTCTGGGAGTGGCTGCGCAGGTTCAGGGGGTCGAGCTCCAGCGTCATCTGCGAGGCGCCCGAGCAGACGCGCGGCCAGGACCTCAAGGCGCTAAGAGCGGAAGACTTTAGGAACTGTTCGGGCTCCGAGTCCCTCCACCAGATTAAAACACACACTTTCTCCACGGCGGACAGAGGAGCCTCCAAAACCCACCGCCACCCTCACCACTCCTCCA